CTTAACGCTTCTAGTAGTGCTTCAAAGTCCTTCCGGGATGTTGGGATATATCACACCTTCGCCTCAGCTATTTGTCGTTGATTTTTCCAATCTCCTGGCCACCCTGGCGATGTGGTGTGGCGCCTCACGTTACGTGTGAGATTGGCCCCATCACATTGGCCGAATATTACACGTATATATTGTCATCCTCCGGCCCACGACCCAACGCCGGGGAGGAAGGGAGCCGGGTAATGTGCTGTGTAGCACGATTGCGCAACCTGATTCCGGCTTGCACAAACTTATGGGATTGAACCACTACACCTTTTCCCGTGCAAGTTTGACAAGTGAGCAGACAAGAATGACAATGTCACTATCAAGAGTGACAATGAGAATCCAAGTATGTCACAATTCAATTCTGTTACAATCAAGTTTGACTTTGAGAATTCAAGTATGTCATAATCGAGATATGTTACAATCAAGATTGACAATGAAAATCCAAGTTTGTCACTTTTCTATTTTGCAGCAACCAAGATTGACAATGAGAATTCATGTTTAACACCGGCAAAATATATTACAATCAAGAATGACAATATTCCACACGAGTTTGACAATACGCACACAAGTTTGGCAATACACATCCAAGTTTGACATTGAAGAGGGTTTCTCTGTGATCAGAGCCTATATCAAGGAGAAGCTGAGTGAGAGGGACCCGATAACAGATAGGCAGAGAGCTGAAGAGCAACACATGTTCTTTTACCCGTACCGGGAAGATATGCTGCGAGGAATGTGTGATGATGCTATGCAAAAGCTAACCACTGACAAGATAGGAGCCGTGTATAGGCTATCGGATACTTGGGAACAAAGGGAGTCAAGGGGTCGCTTTTTGAATTCTTTCGATGTCATCTCAAGTTTACATAGAGCTCTCGATGACTCGGGAGCCTCCTTACTATGTAATGCGTGTGAATTTTCAAGTGGGCAATCAGTTTAAACCGTATGTCAACATGTCGAGTCGAAGTGTCAAACTTGGACGTGTATTGTCAAACTTGTGTGCGTATTGTCAAACTCGTGTGGAACATTGTCATTCTTGATTGTAATATATTTTGCCGGTGTTAAACATGAATTCTCATTGTCAATCTTGGTTGCTACAAAATAGAAAAGTGACAAACTTGGATTTTCATTGTCAATCTTGATTGTAACATATCTCGATTATGACATACTTGAATTCTCAAAGTCAAACTTGATTGTAACAGAATTGAATTGTGACATACTTGGATTCTCATTGTCACTCTTGATAGTGACATTGTCATTCTTGTCTGCTCACTTGTCAAACTTGCACGGGAAAAGGTGTAGAATCATCATGTTCGATACTTGCAAAAACAGTTGGTGGCTTTTTTGGCCCAAGTAACGCATTATAACAATTTCCGAACTAAAGGTTGAATAGGAAAGGTTGTATTCAAAGTGGCAGCAATGTGTCTGGAATCGGGTATCGCACTTCCGCTAGCGATAACACGAGAAATTTATCTCTACCAATGACTTCATCCGGAGAAGAAGTGGAACCCAACTTGTGTCGCACAATTCAACAAAACTCGTTCGTTAGTGAAATACAGGATCGCGTTGTCCCCGAATGTGTGTCAAGGGAAGTGGCGGCCAAGTCGCGTGGGAATAGCCCGAGCCGGTCGGTGCTGCTGCTCAAAACGAATTGAAAACCGTCACCGATTGTTGGCATGAAGTTCATGCCATGAACATAACAAAGAGAAGTTGTAGAGCCTTAAAAGGCCGTCGTCCAGTAAGAGCTGCAATGCAAGATTTCTCTCGATGAAGATCAGCCATCGCCTCCCTCCCTCATAGGTCAGGAGGTGCTAAATTGACTTGCTGTTCGCCGAAAACTCAAAACCGGTTAAAGCACCGATACATTTAAGCTACCGTCATCAATTGTAATACACTCCTACTCACTTAGAGGCTTGAAACCTAGAAAAACTGTTGGACAATTCCTGGAGTCCCGACGTGTACCTAACCAAACAGCTATGGTGACACGACGGAGATCCAACGTACGCCTTGGCACACCCCACATGCGACAACTGCTGGAGAGTCTCTTTATATCTGAGCACGGCAACGCTTTCAATGACCACTACCACGTCACCACAGGCTCTCAATATTCTATTTCTGAACGGCGGTTACTACTTTTGTGCCTCTTCGAGTTTGCCAAGATGTGTTGCCGCACAAGCAAGATTGACGAGAGTATCCGCATTACGCTGGTCGAGCTGGAGGAGACGGATCAAGTCATCATAGGCCTGATAATTGAGTCATCCTGGTCTCCATGAGACCACAGTAATACCTCTTGATACATGCCTCGCTGTATATTAGCCACGGCCTTGCCGTTAGTGAGTAGTACCGACTCCGTGCCCCCTGGGCTCATCTCGTCACAGGAATACTGCGAGCCCAAATCAGTCATTCTGAACAAGTGCACGATGAACAAGGGAATACATGATTCGATGTAGTTTGTTTCGCGCTTTGGGATAAACTTGTACGATATTGCAATACCCGGCCATGTCCTTATCGATCAAAGCCTAGGTCCGATAGGTCTCGATGCTTACATTAGATAGGCCTCCTCGTTATCGCCCTTCATGATCGAGCAGACTGCGTTGGCGTACTTAGCCGCAGCTGATTCGTCACCAGCACACATTTTGGCCAACTCCTTTAAGCTCCGCTCCGCCAGATCGAGTCGATCAATTGATATCTGAGGTCAGATGCATTCCGATTGGTGTGGTATGATAATGTAATTACAGCGAGGAAAGCCCTGACTGCCAGCATCTCTGGATTGGCGTATTCCTTAGTAAGATTGATAGCATCAACCGCTCCCATAGCTCCCTGACCACTGCTCGACAGGGCAGTTGCATAGTAGTATCTAATAACCGTATAGTGGCCATCAATAAAGCAGTAGTCCCTCTACAGAGCAGTCGGATCCTTCGTAGTAGTGGCCAGCTCCTGTAGACGATCAAGTGCCGTCTTGCGCTGGTTTTCCTGAGGGGTTCGGAGGAACCTGAACATATCAGCTGACGGGAAGCAGCGTAAAGCGAGGCCTCACACTGCCATCAAAGCAGTAGCCTTTAGAGCTGGGTTAGGACTATGCTGCATGCCTTTGATGTGGTCCAGCATACCAGCTGCTAGATAGCACCTATACCAGTGGTTGAGCGGATGAACACTGACTATGAAACCTGTCCAGTACCTAGCGTTGAGAGCCTCCTTCTCGGCTGCGACCATATCGGAGCTCACAGCTGTTTGTTCCGAGAGCTGCAGGGATCTCGAATAAGCTCCCACGTAGAAGGAATCACGGACTTCCAGAAGCTCATCTTCCATTGCTGCTGCTGACGAGGACGACGAAGTGTAAGTGAAAAGAAAACTGCCTAGCGGTGGTTCACGAGCCCAGGTCCGTGAGCATGGGCTTTCATCGGCACGAAGAAATGGAGGGAGGCTCTTGAGGAAAGACAAAGCGAGTGGGCAGCCTCCACCACGTCCGACTATTCTATCATAACACTACCGTACTCAAGTGAATACAGCCACGCTCAGTGCCGAGGCAAAAGCTAGAGTCGTACAACAACACCATGCTCACTCCAGAAGAAACATATGTCATTCAGTGGCATGCACGTGGTTCTAAGTCCATAATCACCAGCTGATCGAAGATTCCCGAGGGCGGTTTACTCTCCTCCCTGAATGATACAGCTCTGGGGACTCACGTTCCGGGGAGGAATCGCATAGAACTGAGCTTGAAGAGACCCCCTGAGCTCTGGTACCGCATCAGTATCTAAGTACTTATCCTCGCTAACCCTGGATAGACGAATACTATAAGCATAGGGTAGCTGGTTACTATCATCTGGAACATGGAAGAAGAGTTCTAGGTCAAGGGTGAGAGCCCTGAGTAGCAGCAGGAGCATCGTCCGATCTAGTCAGTTGAGTTAGATCCACCAGGCTATCTTCATCACGGTCATACTCATCGAAGAGACTTACCGTTACCATCACGCGGAGTTTCTCCTGCCATTGCCGAGGATCATAGGGCAGCCGCCAACCCTAAAGGGCCTCGCACACTGATTAGTTGAATGGAACGCTCACTGAGAACATGCTGTATGGACGAGGATGTGTTCGTCAGGAGGTTACCCATAGTCGATTATACTACTGGCAATATGAGCCCGACCCCGCCCCCCCCCCACACTTAACGCAATCCCAGTACAACGTATATAGGTTCAAAAAACCTCCAGCTATCTCAGCATATACTTTCACTATCCCAAAGCCGCGGCAATGGGTGTACGTCATGATGCAATGATAAAGGGGGCCATCCATTACTGCCTCATATGGATGACCTGGCGATCGGGCATAATGTCGAGATCACAGGTACCTGCAACAAGTCACGGGGACGAAGAAGAAGCCGCAGAAGGCTACCGCGATGCCTGTGTTCCATCCAGTCTTCGAGAAGGAACTCATGGCAAACCGTCTGGGCCCGATAGTATTGATATCTGAGCAGGAAAGCATGGATCAATACCGAGGGTCGATTCAAAGGCTTACTTGCATCTTGGGTCGTCCTCGCCGAGCTCACGAGTGCAACGGCAAAACTGTGTGAAACGAAGCTGAGATTAATGTGAGAGATGTGGAGGCGCAACTGACATACCTCACAGTTGTTCCATTGGTTAGATTGGAACGCGAATCTTGGGTCATCGGTATGGGGATGCTCAGCTGTTAGGCGATCAAGGGTGCCAACGAATAGAGCATCAGCACTCTCTTCGGACATTATTGAGGAAGGGTGGGATTCAACACGACCGCTGAGTGAATAGTACAAGTTATTAAGAAGTATTGCAAGTGAGTTAGTTAAAAGCTTACTGGGAAGGGATCGCGGAAATTCAAAGTTTGAACCGGTTTGAACTTCAAACCGACGAGCCAGAGTTATTTTTCGACTTGTCCTTCTCTGTGCATGCTGTTGGGCCTGGAGCGTTGCAAGAAGCGCACGCCCGAATTAAGAGCCCAATTCCAATCCCTCTACGAAGTGGCTCCGACGAGGGTCTTAGCAACCCGTAACTACATTCGAGACTAGAGGTGATGGCAGCCCAACTGACTGCCTTGTTCCTTCGAATACTTGCCTGGCGAGACGTTGCACGCATGCATCGATTGCAACGGCGTGCTCTTCCTCCTTGGAAAGCTACCGGAACGTCTACCTCAATCCCCCGAGCTACACACATACAATGCCCGTCCGCCACATTGATCAAGACGTTGCCGCTGAGCTCGTGAAAACGGCGCAGACTATTTGCACGCCTGGAAAAGGAATCTTGGCTGCAGATGAGTCCACTGGAACCATCAAGAAAAGATTCGATGCTGCTGGTATTGACAATACGGAAGCCAACAGAGCTGCCTATAGATCCCTTCTATTCACCACTCCGGATGTGGGCAAGTATATATCGGGATCTATTCTCTACGAGGAGACGCTCTTCCAGAAGGCTCCAGACGGCACTCCTATGGTTGAGCTCCTCCGTAAAGCTGGCATTATCCCTGGCATCAAGGTCGATAAGGGTCTAGTTGCTCTGCATCTCTCCGACCAGGAGACTGCTACCCAAGGTCTCGACGGTCTCGCTGAGAGATGCGCTAAGTATTATCAAGCTGGAGCCAGGTTTGCCAAATGGCGTGCTGTGCTGAAGATCAGTCAAGCTAAGCATCAGCCGTCTCAGCTGTCTATCGACGAGACTGCTCATACCTTGGCCCGTTATGCTTCTATCTGCCAGGAGCATAGGATCGTTCCTATCGTTGAGCCCGAGATCCTGGCTGATGGCACTCATGATATTGAGACATGTGCCTATGTCACTGAAAGAGTCCTCACCGCTGTGTTCAAGGCCCTGAATGATCATCACATTCTCCTTGAGGGGTGTCTGCTGAAGCCTAATATGGTCACTGCTGGCATGCAGTGCTCTAATCGTCCTAGCCCTGCAGATATTGCTCGCTATACAGTTCGCACACTGCAGAGGACTGTGCCCCCAGCCTTGGTTGGGGTCACTTTCCTGTCTGGTGGTCAGAGTGAAGAGGAAGCTTCGGTCAACCTGTCCGCCATGAATGCCATGCCGAAGGAACGAAGGCCTTGGGCTCTAACCTTCTCCTATGGTCGTGCTTTACAAGCTACCGCCATCAAGACTTGGGCTGGCAAGGCCGATAACGTGAAGGCTGCCCAGGAAGCCTTCGCCTATCGTGCCAAAGCCAACAGCGAGGCGCAGCTGGGCAAATACAAGGGCACTGAGGGTGGCCCGGGTAGTGAGAGTCTTTATGTAGCTAACTATGTCTATTAGGCTTATTCGCCTATAACTGATTAAATGTCATTTGTCACCACGAAATATTAAAGTATGAGCCTAATATAAGAGTCAATCGTTGATACTTCCTTTTGCGATTCACTTGACGAGTTCATGCTGGTGAGTTGTGTTGTCTAGTATCATAGCAAACTATGACGATATGGAGGAGCGACAATTGAAATCTTCATAGTGAGGCAGAACACATCTGTCGTGTCCGCTTCACGTCGGGAAGCTTCGAACAGGGTCAGAATACGTAACAGGTCGAAACAGTGTTGAGTAGAAGGGGAGATTAGGTACACGCCATAGACCCTGGAAAGTGTTCCTTCCGGACGCGTTCGATCAACAAAGATTCAAATACAGATTTACATCATCCTCACATCGATAAACAGGTGTTGGCGGATTGTCGAGGACTTTCACGTCCACGTTAGCATGGATGGCGAGCGCTTACCTCGTCACTAAATTGGCACCATTATACACTCCAAAAGTTTCATGTTTTCGTTCAACTCGACAAACACAACTCATCTAAACGCTGCTGTAAGAAAAGTATGCATTTATCTATGAACATGCCGATGACGAGCTTCATGAGCGGAAAATAAGGTAAGATTACAAGCCGTTACGAATAGTAATACTATATCTTGTAGTACTAGGTGAATTTACTTGTCACTGCATGTGCTACGGTTCGGATGCCATCTCGATAAGAACCTCTCGAGAGGGTATCTTCCATGCGTCTATCAAACTTTGAAGTGGCGCTAGTTCCGACTCTTCAACGAGCTCAAATCGGCGTACAAAGTATCTATAAACTCATGAAGCACACAGAGAGATCCGGAGGGAGTCGTAGTACACGAAGTGCTTGAAGGAGTGGTTCAAATGTCGCTCCACCCCGGCGTCCTGAAGCACGTAGGAGAATATTCACTTACACCTCCAACCGCTCACTTCAAGCTGCTTGAAATGCGAGTAGTAGATGTGAGCATATAGCCGAAAGAAACGCTTGTAAACGATTGCTAACTACGGGGAAAACATAACCTTATGCACAGTCCGGGAGGTGCGCCCACCTCCGCCTTGAAGTTGGCCGGATACGGTTGACCGTGTTCGTTGGGCATAAAACGACGATCAGTGATTTTCCTGGTCAAAACGACGAGCTTTGTTTGATGGGAGGCTTGTGGGGACGTACCGTTCCGACCAGTCCAACACGTTAGACATGTATTCTAAAGCTGATACCTTCTTCAATTCTCCCTGACAGAACAGTGAAACATAGTTAATAACGGCCGTACGAGGAATATGAGAGGGAATAAGTCCGCGGTCGTCGAAATTTCCACCCGAGTCGCTGATAATGCACACTGCCGCATGAACGACTGTTAGTATAGTATCCCGGTCGTAATTTGTCTCTGATCTATTCTCTAATGACGAACTTCATTAAAGACACTTGCAACGCCCGATAAACGAATAAGATACCATAAGATGGCGCAGACTCCGTGTTAGACTAGAATTCAACTTTTATCAGAACTGCGGTAATGAAAACCCCGAGAAATTTCTCCCAAAACTTACGGCTTCATCATCGGCCCAGGCATACTCGAAGTCCCCGGCGTTCATTGTCGGACACAGGAGCTTGGTACAGTATCTGGTCATGTTACTCCAAACAACTCGACCTGTTGCTATCATCCCCACTCTTGAACACTTCCGACGATTATATTCATCTCATTCCACATATCATACGTGTTGATAGCGAGCCAGTCGTACTCGGAAATGTTGGCTGGAGGCGAGACCGTCTGAGGCCAGAGAATGGGCATCACTTTAGTTATTATACACTACCGCAGCATGGTCGGTGGCGCCGTCCATGGCAAGAGTTCTCGTGCGACTCACACAGTGGACAGCGTAGAGGTTGGAAGCTGGGGGTAGGGATATCGGGGGAAGAAGAGTGCTGGAGTTCGTATTGTGTACGTTGTTTATCGAGCTATCTGAAGATGGTGCGGTATGTTCAATGAGATAAAGAGAGGCGTACCAGCGATGTATGGAGTCGTGTTCCCGCTTGCATTGGATATCATCGGAATAAAAGTGAGACAGTGTGGTACTGAAAGCGAGGGAAAAATGATCGCTGGCGACTCCCCCTCAGTGAAGCTAAACGGTCGAACGTCAACGGCTCGCTAGTACAAGAGGCCATTGTAAGTTAAAACATGTTCCCGTTGAGTGGTCCTCAATCTGTAACTTTTTGGCTACGTTGGGGGAGGAGGAGCTAGAGTAATGGTTCATGCAGTTACTTGACGGTAGATCCCAACCATCGGACTGTTCCCAACGATTATAGTCGTCGCAGTACTTGCCTGTTACCGCACTCCTAGTACTCCCCCCAACTCAGGTTATACGGCTCAAGTTGTGTTAATCGGTCAGGATGAACACCTTTATCCCGTCCCCTATTATCCACAACTACATGATTCACTGCGAGGGAGTTCGAGCGAAGTCGGGGACTTCTTCCGTGAGAAGTCTGTCAGTGTATACAGGTATGAGGGTATAAATTTTAAGTCGGGGGAATTCAATACTAGAGCGAAACCGTCCTCACCACGAAAATGTAATTCACAATCGGATGAGGATTTCAGAAATTGTCTATCGACCTGTTCCACTAGACCGGATGAGTTTCTGGTGTGGGAACAGAGATATACACGTCCGACATGGTAGATTATACGAGTCACAAGTGAAACGTTCAGCAACCTCAACCAGTGAAGCAAATAGGATGGACTGTAAAGTTAGCGATGACACCCATGAACGATGAAGGCGGCCACAATTTGCACGCATGTACTAGCGGAGCGAAGTGCGTCATGTTCCGGAAATTTTATAATCTTGCATTGGTCACCGGAGATGCCGATTTTTAGCAGCGTTGCTTCTCTCTGGAGCTCACTAGTTCGCATGCGCTCAGGGTTGAATTGAAGTATTGAACAGCCTGATCAGACCGACAGGGAAATCTCCGACACTGGATCTTCAGCGGAGACCCTTTATGAGTCGACTTCATATGTAGTTACGGATTGTATTTTAGTCTACTTACGAATATATCCACTTGAAAATGTGTCGATGAAGTGTTAAACGTGCAACGCTCCGCTGGAAAAGGTTAAACTATCAATGCTGATGCACAAACCGTAGCGTGCATTTTTCTATTTGTTCATACATTCCGCTGAGAGTTGTGCTTCTTTAACAACGAATTAATATGTTTGAATTTGGAGATGATATGCATGCTCAGCTGCGATGGACATCTCAGGGTAGAGGGTAGATGCTAACCAGTTGGGAACTCAAGGCAATGGTTAATGGAAGCTAGAGATTCTATCTATAATCGTACTCATAAAATCATCAACTAGCTTCGAGCTAGGCTAAGATTCCATAGTTGTGCAGTCTACACAACTACAGTAGATAAGGGGGAGCGGGACGCCTGACGGGTGAGGTTGTAGGACTTCTACAAGGACAATGTCAAAGTACACGACACTATCCTAGGACGGCACGAGTTGAGTTGAGTGTGATGAAGTATCACATTGATGGGGATTAGAGCGATAGGAATCCAGTGTAGTATGAGTAAGGACGGAAGGAAGCTGGCGGCTCGAACGTTTTAACGCACTTCGTTGTTCGAACGATGATGTCGGTACTCCTATCAGGATATGGTCGTTAGTAGTTGTAAGTGGTGTTTGTTGTCATGAAGCTCATTCAAAGTGTAAAGCGTCGGATGAGTAACGATGAAAAAAAGGGCGACAATAACAACACCACATCAGTTGCAGTGGGCTCTACATCGACAAGTTCCCCCAAAGGTGACCAGACGAGCCGACCTCTCATGCCCTATAGAGATCCCACCGTCAGATGCGGCTGTTGACGGAGATGAGCGAGCGTCAAAGCTGGGAATAGTAGGCAACGCTGGAGGGGTGCCTACAAAGCAGCACTTAGCAGCTTCGAACAGTGGGGGACACAAAGTAGTACTGGTTCGCGCACACAGTGGGGAAGGCTCATGGTAAGGTTAATCATCATCAACATGCACATGGATTCGTCAACTCCACCCAAATGCTAGTAAAACCTGGCCATTTCATGTCGGCCGATGTTGATCCTTTCGAAGATCTTCCTCCATTACGAAGTACCGCCTCTACCTGAAGATGCGTGAGTGTAGTAGTAGTGGGTCTTTTAGATGCTCCAGTGGCTGAGAGGAGCGAGCTCTTCCGGAAAAAAGTGCGAGCGTGCGGAACTGTATTCGACTTTAGTAACCAGCAGACATATTTGAAGGAAAAGGAGGCCAAGCGACAGACGCTACTCGAGCTCGTTGAGTAACTATAAAGCTTCGACTTGAGGTCATCATATGAATTTTCAGATATGTGAACAATACACGCAACTGCTTCAATGATTCAGTCATGCAAGATGTGGTTAATATGGTATCGGCGAATATTTTTAGAGCGGTAATAATCGTAGATATTCTCTGATGATCCCTCTGGTCCGCAACGATGAACGAGCTTATGGCCAGTTCACTTGAGGCTAGTCGAATGTCGTTGTTTCATGCAGCTTCCACCAGTGCATGGTCGCAGTACTAACTCGATATACGATCCGGAAGACGACGAACCCACGTTGGAGCCTAGTTGGCCTCACCTCCAGATTGTGTAAGAGAGCGTTCCTCTTTGTCCGTGGGCGCTTTCATCATTTCCCGCTGTGACAGGTATGAGTTTTTCCTCCGCTTCGTAGTATCTAACGATGTTGATCCTAAACTTGCCAAGAGATTCGTAGACCAGACTTTCGTATTAAGGTAGTGGTAGTGAAGGGAGAAGGGTAGCCTGATCGGGGCGCGTGTTGGATTGGTGTAGTTGAGGAAAGGAGTGTCATCAATAAGCCTATCGGAATGAGTTCAATGAGTGTCTGGTTGCCATTTGAGACGGTGTGGAGCATTCTCTGAATCGAAGAGTGAGTAAAGAGAGAAAGGGAATGTCCAGCAACATGTCTAAGTTGGCGAGTAATGGGTGTTGTCATTCCGCCTTCAGATTGATGGATTTATTTGATTCGGAAGATCCGCGAGAAAGGGACTATCTGAAGACGATACTCCACAGGATATACGGTACTTGCTGCAGTGGTGACGTGGCGCACTGACTTGATCAGGAAAATTTATGGCCTTGCGGTCGTTCATCCGGAGGGCAATGCAAAATCTTTTCTACAAGATCATCTACGAGAGCGAGTACCACAACGGTATCGAGGAGCTCTTGGAAATCTTCGGCTCGATCGTCAATGGCTTCGCTCTTCCGATCAAAGAAGAGCACAAACAGTTCTTAGAGAAGAGCCTTATACCGCTTCATAAAGTAAGGGAGAAGTCCTGGGCATCGGGCGTTTTATGATTTCGCAGGTTAAAACGTTGAATTCTTTCCATCAGCAACTCTCGTACTGTATGACTCAGTATGTTGAGAAGGACCCGCGGTTGGCTGACTCGATAATTCTGGGTAATATAAGCGGAGCGAAGCAGTGATCAAAGGATTTCCGCTGATAGGCCTTCTCCGATTTTGGCCGATAACAAACACACCAAAAGAAGTGTTGTTTCTCAATGAAGTGGAGGTCGTTTTAGAAGTAACGCCTAAAACAACAGCGGAGCGAAGAAGTTTTTGTTTGCGTTTTAGCTGACCCAACCCCCAGAGTTCCAGAAGGTGGAAGTGCCTCTATTCAAACGGATAGGGCAATGTATTGCCAGCCCTCACTTCCAGGCAATTACATCATCTGCAGTATCTTCAACGGGACATGGTCGAACGTCTTAGGTAGCGGAGCGGGTGCTCTTCTTGTGGAACAACGACTATATCGCAAAGCGGATCAATCAGGATCGGCAAGTTATATTCCCTATCATCATTGGACCATTGTAGGTTGCTATACGGTCATCCATGAGGGAGACGCCATTTCATATGCAGATATAGGAATTCTGACTCCCACTGGAATACTACTGTTCACGGTTTGTCGTACAATGTTATTAAACTGCTCATGGAGGCCGATCCACCATTTTTCGATGAGTGCAATTCTAAAGTGCGAATCGCAGAGGAAGAGTAGCGGGGGCTGGTCTCGCGTTGAGTGCGGTAGTAGAGCGGTGTTTAGGATTCGAAAATCCAAGGGCGTAACAAAAGCGAAATGGACCCTCCTTCAAGCTGCTCACAATGCGCGTGAACGTGGCAGTGCAGTCGAGGCGAGTGCGTAATGGTGGAAGTAATGATGATGATGACTAACATATTGGTCGTAGTCAATTCGTGATCAGGTGAGATGTCATGAGAGAGGTGTTGCTTTAACACGTGAAGGCTGTGCCTTGCCTGATGACACTACTTTTCATTGAGGGCATATGTTTTTGTATACAGCTGACTTCTACGTGCGGCCCTGCAATGATGATGATAAGAGGCCGAGGGACGCAGTGTTTAGTCCAGACGGAGTGTCAATTTGTTTCCATTGTAGCTACCCGAGTATATCTATGGATGAGTTTGGCACGACTCGTGCCGCACGAATGGCATCAGCTGGCTCACTCGAATCGCGACCTCGTATATTTTCGTCATCATTAGCATCATCCTTGTTCAGCTCATATCTCGACTCTCCTTCCATCCCTCTTTGCCTCTGTACTATTTCCGTCCTGCTGCCACTGCTTGCTCACATACTCTACTTGTCAATGTAAAGGTATCTTTTGTATTCCTGATGTGCTGTGTTCTAGAGTCTATCAATCTGTCAGGTTGGGCTTGGTCTCGTTCACAGTTTTCATGTAAGCATCCGGTTACCATCTGAAAGGAGAATCAGTTACACTGCAGACGTGGTTGATCTGTACTCTGATCCCAACTCACCGAGTCACTAGGCTTGTGGTGCAGCAGCTGATCACATAGGGTGAGTCGAGTCGGTTCTACCGACTGTCTCCGAAGATCATGCCAAGGCCATTCGCCAAGAATTCTTCGGCTCCTCGGCAGTATAGAAACATAGCAGTCAATGTCAGTCCGTTGAGGCCGGTAAAAGCAACACCTCCTCGCACAAGATGGTATTAGTGTGAGATCAATATAATGTGCTCGCGACGAGCATCCAGGAGGCGAGGAGAAGGAACGCCACGGTGGTCGGACCATCTCGAGAGGAGTAGAGAACGCTGATCTACTGGTTGAATTCAGAGAAGTGCAGGCACAGTATGGTTTGATATGGTAGTCCAGCTATGAGCATCGCTGAATCATCCAGATTGAGTGGCTCGTTCGAATGAAACACGTCTAGTCCGAATTTGGTCTGCGGACATGAGTCTTGCTCCAATGTCCTATGGTGAACTCTCCAGGTTACTCTCTCAGGTTACACTGTCCTGTTTGGAAAGGCTTCACTCAATTGTCCAATGAGAGCCAAGTGCTCTCACGTCTTTCTACAGTGCATGGTTAGGACTCCTCAATATGTATTCACTCTAGAATCATCGTGTTAAAGGTTTCCACGAACAAAACTGTGCGGATGGCGGGTGGCAAGAGACCGCCTTCAGATTGCGCGTACTGTAACGTCTCCCTGTTTCCCTCAGCGTGTTCCGTTACCTCGAACTAGGCTGTCGAGCTTGTTTAGGGTGTAGTGCCTCTGCACCTGTTTCGTTCCAGTGAAGCAGAAGGATCCGAAAACCTCGGGGCTAGTGGTGGCGGAAGGTTCGAAGAGGAAAAGGGTGGTGCAGAATGGAGCGAAAATGCCCGTGAGAGATTTCCATATCTTGAAGTAAATGTGGTCAGTGAAATTCATTCAGGCAGCCCGAAAGGGACATGAGTCGATGAGTCGGACATAGCAGCACCATTCGATAACGGGTAGAAACTTGTGCAGCAACAACACAAGTTAGAACGAGGTATACCCGCCCCAATGCAAGACAAACCACCCCCAATACAAGGCACACCAAGCCCAATACAAGGCATACCTGCCCCAATGCAAGGCATATCCGCCCCAATACAAGGCATACCCGTCCCAATACAAGGCATACCCGCCCCAATACAAGGCATATCTGCCCCAATACAAGGCATACCCGTCCCAATACAAGGCATACCTGCCCCAGTACAAGGCATGCCCACCCCAATACAAGGCGTACCCGTCCCAAGACAAGGTACACCTGCCCCAATACAGAACCGAACGGCCCCAATACAAGCCAGATCCGCCACAATACGAGGCATATGTGCCTCAATGTGCAAGACATGTGCATCCCGATACGAGTACAAGGCATATTGACCCCAATACAAGGCTTATCCGTCTCAATACAGGGCATATGCGCCCTGATACGAGTCATACCCGGCCCAATACAAGGCATATCCGCCCCACTACAAGGAAACATACGTCTCAAGACGAGTCGTGTCAGCCCCAATACAAGACATGTCCGCCATAATACGAGGCCTATGCGCCCCAGTATGAAGCATATCAGCCCCAATACGAGGCATATCAGCCCCAATACGAGGCATATCAGCCCCAATTCGAGGCATATCAGCCCCAATACGAGGCATATCAGCCCCAATACGAGGCATATCAGCCCCAATACAAGGC